ACTTCCAAATTATCTTATTTTCTTTTTTCACTTTCTGCTAATTGATTTTTCAAGACTTCTTTAAGTTATGTCAGCTCTGCTTCATTTTCCTTGATCTTTTTTAGTTCGATCTAGATTTAATCATACATAATTATCTGCTTTATAAGGGATGAGTCTTCCTCAAACTTTGTTTTCAGTTAATTGAACTATGCAAGATTATATAATTACTTCCTGCAACTCTTCATTTTGAAACTGATTAGAATGCTCATTTATAGTTTGTGATATTGATTCATATTACTTTAATGTGTCTTTAAAGATTTACTGATATAAATTGAATTATTGCAATTATAAATTAAGATTTTCAATAAATTTTTATTTGGTAATAATATTCTCTTCTTGTGTAATTTCACCTTTTGTATATTTACCTACATTATCATTTATCGTTAATTCCTTAATAATCTTATTTATCTTATCAGTTGTTATCAAATTATTTGATAACAACTAACCTAGATTTTTTGAAATTTCCTAAATTTAATCAAAATCCTCTTTTTCAATATTAAATTATTTGTCAGTTAAAGCTTTAAATTTATCAGTTTGACTTATAATTTCTGTAAATTCATTAATTTATTCAGCTGTCATTTCAAAGATTATATTTTAATTGAATCCATTACATTCATTCGGTGAATACATCTAGTTTTAAGATTTAACTTTCTTAATTATTTCAGATATTATTGAATTATAATTTTCCTTTGTATCTTCAAGAATCTCAATAATTTTTGTTGATTTGAGCGATCTTTAATTCTAAAACTTTTAAACTTAATCATTTGTTTATCCTAAGTATTCATTCCATTTAAAGCCAGCATCACTAATGGTAGTATATTTGATAGGATCATTTGATTATATGCACTCAATACAAGCCATTCTTGAGAGCTTAGTTTTCTCAGGATTTAAATTAAACATGATAATCTCTTTTCCATGTTTATTACATTAAATCTTTAAGCTTGGGGTTTTCTATTAAGTTAATATAGTTATTATTACTTATGTGTCTTCCTCCTTTTTTGAAAGAACTTAGAGTTATTTAATTTCTTTAGCTTCCTCTTCCACTTTTGTTTTTTCTAATGTTTCATTTATTTAGACGAATTATGGGCATTTTATAATAGCCTGCAACTATTATTATATTGTATCAATTAATTAATTGTCACCAATATATATGTCTAATTATTTTGGTACCTCAAAGCTGAATGATCCTCTGTAATTTCTCGATAACACTTTAACATCATCTTCAAACCAAGTAAGTTGAGTTTTTGATTCTGAATCTTCTAATTCTTTCTCCATTAGTTAAATTTTTTATGATATGTTGCTTGAGATTTTTTCAATTGTGTTATCAATGGAAACTTTTAATTCTTTAACCTATAATTGAATTTGTCTAAAGTTATCAATTCTTCTTTAATTTTCCTTAATTTTGTTGTTCAACTACTCACTTTTCATTTATTTAATCATTGTTTTTGTCTCTTCTACTAGTGCAATATTTTATGTATCAATTTTTTCAATTAGGCATTTAATGCAGAGGTATTTATCTTCATCAGCAGTAGTCTGTTTTAAATCTATCGTTTTTATTTTAAGCTTGTGCTTTTAGCAAAACTTTTTTTCTTCAGAGGACATTGACGTAATTATTAATAATAAGATATTTTGTTAATTATTATCGAACATTTTAAATTAAATTATAATGTATAAATTTTGAAAAATTGAAAGTTATGATCATAAACAAAGAAATTTAACTACACTGCTTTTTCTCAAAGAAAAACACAAAAATTATCATAAAATATATGTACAATTGGTGTCGTATCAACCAAGAGAATTTAATGATAATTGGACTAAATAAATGAATGAGAATCAAATTATTATTTCTTGAGAAATATTGATAGAGGAATCACAAAAAGACTTTTTTTTACAAATACCAAGATTTTTCGTTTTCGTAAATGAGGACTAATTTCTGAAATTAATCAAATTTGCAATCTAAATTAAAATAATAGGCAAGACCAGTGAGACTTAAAACTTTT